TTTTTGACTAACCAATTATTTATTTATAATAGCCTACACTTAATATATTTGTGAATTTTCTATCAAAATATTTGAGAATGGAGAATTAAACTGATCTGTTTCAAGAACCACAAGTATTACTTAATTCAAATAAATATTATTAAAGGTCCCATGACATGATATTTTCACTTTCTGAGGTTTTTTAACATTAATATGAGTTCCCCTGGCCTAGCCTGTATATGGTCCCCCAGTGGCTAGAAATTTCAATCGGTGTAAACCGAGCTTTGGCTATCTTTCTCTGCCTTTGAGAAAATGAAAGCTCAGACGGGCTGATCTTGAATCTCCTCCTTATGACGTCATACTGCGAACGGCACATATAAGGAGTGTTTCTCCCTCATTTCTGCTCCGAGGTCTTGATTGTGGCATTTCTTTGAGGTTTAGAATCCAGTAGCCTATTCCTGTCATTATTGTTTCTTTTTTATGAATTTAATAAATAACTATGTCTCGTATTCTGTCCAAATGGTCAGTGTCAGGGTCACTTTTGTGTCCAGTCGTTTTTCCTTTTTTAACAGGTAATTTTGCAAAACGAAAAATTAACCGTTGTTGTATTTTTAAAACGCAAAGTTGAACACCAAAATGTAAATTTGAACTGTAGCCTACGCACCAAAATGCTGCGCAAAATAATAAATAGGCCTATTGAGGGATTTTCAGATTTTTGTTTATGACTTTTTGCCCCTTTATTAAACATTTAAAATATTCACTAATTAATATGAAAAAAAAAAGACATTTCAAGCTTTAGCCTAGGCTATATTTTGTTTCAGTTCTCGTGCTCCAGGTCATCATGAAACCGCGCCTGATTGTTTTATTTTATTTTACAAAGCACAACGTTTTCTTGTTATTTTGAGTTTACGCAAATAAAAGTAGTTGAGAATAATGTATTATTATTTTCTGTGTGGCTAGAAATGATAGAGTATTTTAAGTTGTTTCCACTGTTGATAGGAAATGCAAGTGTTCGCACCCGCGCCTCCCTGCCATCCAGTGCGTGCTCCACACTCGCACAAACACTTGGATATGCGTCAAAATCATTATGAATGACATTTTACGAATTGCTTTCTAAATATGTAGCCTAATAAATGTTAATTATTATTATTATTATTTGCGTCCACAGACCCCAAACACACCGCGTCTTCAAAGTCAAGTGACTGTAAATGCGCAAAAACTGTTTCCATTGCAGTTTTGCGAAATATTCCTTTTTCGAATTGCCTGAAAACCTCCTCATGCGAGCGTAACGAAAAACCTTCGTATCCATATTTTCAATTTCCACTTTCACGATTAATTTAACCTAGCTAGCTAGCTTAGGCAAAACCGAGCGCGTGTTGCTTCGCTATAACTTTACCGAGATGCTGCTGTTAGGGAAACCCCTTTTTTGTAAACAATCAGTCTAACTTCCGAGTGTTTTTTTATAAGATTATGAGTCAAACATTACACTTAAATACACACATCAATAAATATATAAATACTACACGTAAATTATTATTATTTAAAAAATGATTTATTAAATGCAAATTGGATGGAGGGGGGGCACAGGAGCTCTAGGGGGGCCTGGCCCCCTAAGGCCCGCCCATAGCGCCGGGTATGCTCCCCTTTCTCTGCTTTACCCACCCAGAGAATTTGGCTCGCCCATGAGAAAATGAGCTAGGAAGTACGAACGCGCGAGCCGAGCGCGATTTGAGTTTTTCCTGAGAGATATCATGGCTTGCAAACGAGCGAAGCATGGCAGTTGATCGGTGTTCGGATGTACAAATGAACACAAAATTATTGTTTAGTTCCTTCATCCGAGCCTCTGAAGAAACAATGGGTTCATTTTATTTTCTCTGGAAATGCGCCGACACAACTTCCCAAAGTTTTGTATGGTCCAAACATTTCACCTACGACTGTTTCCTCAACTTGGGCCAATACAGAGCTGGCCTCGATGAACGTCTGAAAATAAATCGATCGAGCTACCAAGCAACAGTTTCTGATGTGTAGCCTATTGTTCAAGTTCAGACAGGTAATCTTTTTCTCAAAATCGTTCAATATGCATCAGTAAATCAAGCCAGTGACTAAAATATCAACTTCACATCGTTTCTTTTAGTAGGATGAAAATAATCTTATTTAAATTGTGAACAAATTATATACAGAAAGCGATCAAAAAACAATCTTTCCACACAGCGCAAGTTTATCTGGACAACTCGTTATGAAATCAATGACGCGAATCAATTACACTGCACAAAGGAGCTCTTACTGTACATCATCGTGTTTGCATTGGTGAAAGCATTAGAGAGTGCAGAAACTGCGTTGCAATGATAAGATCTTTATTCTGGCGATCAACAGACTGTCATCTGCTTGCTCAATGCTCAACATTTTATGTGATGGGAATAGATCTAAATACTTTAAAACTTCTAACGATTCGTTAATCTCGATAGCTGTAATAGTAGAAACGTATGATAACTGTAGTAAAGGTATTCGAGAGAGTTTCACATGTAATATGTAGCTATTTCATATGCAAGCATGTTAGCCAATCACATACACTGAATCCCACAGCAGACACGCCCCTTCAAACAGAGCATTCAAATCAGAGGCTAAAATCAGGCTAGGAAAAATGCCTTTTATTTCTAAATTATGGCTATTTTTGATCTAAAAAACATACTAACATTATAAGGGCAACCCAGGAAACATTATAAAATAATAAATAAAAAAACCATGTCAGGGGACCTTTAATATATTTAACACACTCTTAAGAAATTGGGTAAGTTGAAATGCATGATGCCTTGCATGCATAAAACATACGACTTTCTAAAGATAATGAATATAATTCGTTTAGAAGATGATAAAATATCCTCAGAACTGTGCACTGTTTGTTTATTGGCAGGTTATGGGATCAGTATCGTCGCAGCATCTTTCGGCTATGAGTGAAACGCAGGACGGCGGACTAAAGTTAGAAGTTCACCCGCAGAGCGTGAGTTCATCTCAGGCACGAGAACCAGAGCTGATACGGTGGAAATTGGATAACAGGCCGGTTGATTACACTTGAATTGCTTTTTACATTTTTAGTTTTTACTTCTAATATTTTTTTTTTATGATTTTAAATGTTGGCAATGGTGTATGTTAAAACAGTATAAAATATGCCTCATCGACAATAAAGGCCGATATAACGTTACCTGGTTGTGTGGAGTATTACAAAGGTTTACAGGAAGTCAAAAGTTAATATTACTGATAAATAAAAACAATTAATATTAGGCCTACTCATAAATATTTTTTTTCTTACGTTTTCCGAACATTACGTTTTCCTTTTTTACTTGCTTCTGAGAGGCACAGTGCTACACCTCTGCCACACTTGGCAAATACATCAGAATGCAATTTGTGAACTTTGGCTCTGAGACAAGTAAATATAACACCATCTTTGTGTCAGTGGATCGGATCACAAACACCTGGGCTAAAACCTGTAAAATTCCATATGAGCACTAGAGTGCCTCACGGCTGCTCGTTTTACCTCTTGGAAAGTAACCCACCTCTTCTGGAAAATAGGTGTAACAGCTGCGGTTATGATTGAGTCACTCAAGTTCATTGGGACCACTATAACCAATTAAATAACCACAGCATATCACCACACTGGAAAAAAGGACACAAGTGATCATGATCCTATAAGATAACTCCAGTTTCTATCCTCCTGGTTTGGCACTTCCCTTGTCTCTTCTATGGGAAATCTGCCACATGATGTTGTCTGATGAGAAGAACACAGTGCAGGATGCATGCCTTAAACAACCACTGTTTCTAGGTGTTTCAGAGCTTTTAAAACCAACTCCAGAATCACATAACCTTCGTCCCTTGAGAAGTCAGACTGTTAAAACAAAGTCTGAGAATTCCAATAACCATCCCAGAAACACAAGTTGCATATTAATTTCCTACAACAAATCTCATGTAACTGACAGAGCACATTGGTAGTATGGGCTACTTTCATGGTGTTTTTTTTTTTGTTTTTTTCACAGTCAAAATCAGTATCCACGTTCATTGTATAGAAAAGAGTAGCTTGAACATTATGGAAAAATATCCCTCCCTGCCTACAGATAAAAGTGAAAGATGCATGCAGGAAAGTGTGCATATATAATATAATATTCCACTTTGAATGATTCTCCCACATCTTTTTCAAGCAATTTTCTATTACACTGAACTTTTATATTCATTGCCATATATTGCTTTTGCAATTATAATAAGATACCTTCATGGATTAATCTATTCATTTGGCTTTAGACAAAAGTATTATATTTTACCTGATCTTTGCGGTTTTGCTTAAAGTGCAAGGCTTTCTGCATTCATTCTTTTGATATCAATCAAATCTTTTCATAGTTTTCATTAACAGTTACTTCTTGTTTTATAAATTAATGTCAGGACAGGTGTAGGCCTATACAACAATGTAAAAAACTTTATACCCCCCCCCCCCCCCCCCCAGACTTTTATTTCGCATAACAAAATGGAACATTCTATTCAGGAGCATATTTTAAAACTGCATGGTAACAGCTGCTATAAAATCCCGGAAACAGCATAAGATATTCTTCTTTTATTGAGTTCATTGAACGCTCTTGCATCATTTTATTAAGGTTATTTGTGTGGGTGGAATGCTGCTTGTGTTAGGTTCTTATAAAGAACAGGGTAATGAAAGTAGGCTTACAAATGAAACTTCTCAAAAAAAAAATATTTTGACAAATCAGTACGGTGAAATCAGTAGTAGGCTGCTGATCAGATGCAGCATACAAACAAGCAAGTCACTGAGTCTGCGCCTGGTTATCTGTATCGTCGTGACACCTAGATAATGTGAGAACAAGCCTAAAGGTCCTCTGAATTTTTCTAAGCCAAGTTCATAATGACATGTATGATAGTGTTCTTTGACCCAAGTAACGACATAGTTATCGTTATGACAAGTAACATAGTTATTATGCCAATTAAACTTCAGATAAGCTCTGCCATAATAATACTGAATCGACCATGACCAAATCACGACAAAGGATCTTTTGAACGCTTCCGGGCGAAAACTTTCCCCACTGAGCTGGTGCCAGTGTTCCAGCGTCTTCCCTGGAAAGAACACGCGCCAGTGAATGATGTGCGTTCTCTCTAGTGCTTCATACCCAGCCGGTGCATTTCCCAGCGTAACTGGAGCACTCCACAACCGAGCCAAGGATTTGTCAGCGCGCGCTAACTTGAGAAAATGAGAAATCAAACTGGGGAGTGATTGTTCTGTGCTTCTGAACGGACTTATGTTCTTTTGTTTCGACCGGGCTTCTCGAATCCTTGTAAACATGGGGTTATCCCGAAATGAAACTGTAATCTGGACAGAGGAGCATATGGACACGAACCAAACGACAGACACCTTTGGTCCGGAGACAGTGATTGTGCCCGTCATATTTGGATGTATATTTTTCTTGGGAATCGTTGGAAATACTCTAGTGATGGTTGTCATTGGGAAAATAAAGTCAAGGCGCTCGAGAAGTACCACTAACATTTTCATCATAAATCTCAGCATAGCAGATTTATCTTTCCTCCTGTTTTGCGTCCCGTTTCAGGCCACCATATACTCACTTCCCGAGTGGATCTTCGGGGCGTTTCTGTGTAAATTTGTGCACTATTTTTTTACGGTCAGCATGCTGGTGAGCATTTTCACGCTCGTGGCCATGTCCGTGGACAGGTACATTGCCGTGGTGCTCTCCAAAAAGTCCCCGTGTATTCGTAACCGGAGGAATGCGCTCATTGGCGTTTGTGTTATTTGGATGCTTTCCTTTATCTTTGCAGTCCCGGTGGCGCAGCACCAAATTTTGACGGATCACCCTAAGGCTCCCAATAGCACGTTCTGCTGGGAGATTTGGACCGAACGGGTGGCCAAGCACACTTATAAAGTGACCATTCTCGTGATAGGGTATCTGTTACCGCTGGTTTTGATCACATGCTGTTATGCCAAGGTAAGGATTCGACATTAGACACTGTAGATCTATCGAGGGAGGACTTATACCTGCTGCAAAGATACGTTTCATGTTGTAGCCTATGAGCTGACTTATCGTTTAAAATGAAAGTGTGAGGATGGGAAGGTTTTTTGGAGCGTCTACGAAATTATTACACGTTTTAAAAATGAAAACTAGGCTACTTGGCGCGTGATTGCTTAATCTGAACTGACTTTTTTATTACTGTGTGCGTTTCCTTTAACTAGTGTCAACATGATTATCACAATTGCCATAATAATTCACTATGGGGTCATTCCGTGTCAAATCAACCGAATTTCAGAAACTTTCCTTGTCTCAAATGTTTGGTTTTATTATTATTGTGTTGTTGTTGTTGTTTTTTTTTTTTTTTTTTTTGCCCCAAGTTTGCATGCCTGCAATTTAAGGATTAGTTCACCTCAAAATGAAAATTTCCTAATAATTTACTCACCCCAATGCCATCCAAGATATGATGTTTTATTAACAAAGTTCGGGAGAAGCACGTTCAGATAATTAACACGGGTGGAGAGCACTCAGCAATCATGATTAAAATGTTTCATTAACAAAGTTCGGGAGAAGTACGTTCAGATAATTAACACGGGTGGAGAGTAGAGATGCGCGGTTGGCGGTTATAGCCGCGGACTCCGCGGATAAACCGCGGATCGGGCGGATGACGTGACGGGAAAAAATATTTAAATTAAATTCGGGCGGGTGGCGGGCGGTTTCTAGTCTCGCGGCTGTCATCAGCAGCGCCTTGTATCAGCGGATGGCGGGCGGGTGCGGTTTTGAAAATTGGTCAAAAACGTTGGTGCGGATGGATGGCGGACGGATGATGAGTTTTGTGATGCGGTTGCGGATGAAATAATAGCCCATCCGCGCATCTCTAGTGGAGAGCACTCAGCAATCATGATTAAAACGTGTACATATAGACTCAGCAGTCTCACCTCATTTCTCTGACAGTTTAGCAGCGTCCCTCCACCACCCCTTCTCCACTCTTCTAGTCCTAAACCACTTACACACGGGGGGAGTACTCTGGGTTCGGGCCGAATTCCGAGCTCGGAGCCCTCCCCCCGGACAGCACGCCAAATACGCATTGTACTTTATTCCCTTTAATTGTATGTAAGTGTGAACTCGTGAAATCCATGTCTTTCTTTCCTCAGTGGAAGAGAAAATAAGTTTTTTGAGGAAAACATTTCTGGATTTTTCTTCGAATAATGGACTTCAAAGTCCAAATCAATGCAGTTTCAAAGGTCTGAAGTGCTTAAACCGGCTGTGCACGGTCGCAGCTGAGGAAGAGGTTGTCAGTGCGAGTTGCTTTCAGTTAAAACAGCTCAGACATGGATTTTAGTTTTGGACTAGCTTAAGCCTTGTCTGTGAAACTGGGGGATTGTGTTTAAAGAGGAATGTCTGAAGAACAAAACTAGTAATGTATCTATCAAAATAGTTGCATACAAATACCTCTCGGAGTGCCAAAAATACCAGTAGGGGTTCAATCTTCAACTGGCTGGCAGGAGCCGCCACTGGCAGGTCACGTGACCTGTCAGTGGCTGGCTGGCAGCTGCCAGTTTGCCAGTGGCAGCTGCCAGTCTGCCACTGACAGTTGCCAGTCTGACACTGGCAGCTGCCAGTCAGCCACTGACAGGTGCAGTGGCTGACAGTGGCTGGCTATAGTAGTCTATTTGGCAAGTTTCAGAAACCATCGATTTTGGACAGTTTTTGTGTTTTGTGTTCCTCCCTTTCTAGCTCATTTATTATGAATCTGTTGATATGAATAATGTTCTTTAGTATGATTGCTGTTTTGTGAACTGTTATCCCAATATAACCAGTCAAATGGCGAGTGGGGGTTCAATCTTCAGCTGGCTGGCAGGAGCCGCCACTGGCAGGTCACGTGACCTGTCAGTGGCTGGCTGGCAGCTGCCAGTCTGAGACTGGCATGTCACGTGACCTGCCAGTTGCTGGCTAGTTGTCTGGCAGTCTGCCTTTGGCAAGTTTCAGAAACCATTGATTTTTGAGGTTTTGTGTTCCTCTCTTTCTAGCTCATTTATTAGGAATCTGTTGATATGATTATGTTCTTTAGTATGATTGCTGTTTTGAGGACTGTTATCCCAATATAACCAGTCAAATGGCCGTGATCCGACTGGCAGCTTACAGACGCTTGCTCGACGCTCATCCAGTCAGTCGCGGCTGATAGTGCGAGTATAACGCGTTGCCTGACACTCTCGCTGCATGGAAATAAATTGTTTTCTTATTATGAATATAATGTCATGCCTTTATTCTTGTGTATGATTGATGTTTTGGGGACTGTTATCCCAATATAACCAGTCAAATGGGCGTGATCCGACTGGCAGCTTACAGACGCTTGCTCGACGCTCATCCAGTCAGTCGCGGCTCATAGTGCGAGTATAACGCGTTGCCTGACACTCTCGCTACAAGGAAATAAATTGTTTTCTTATTATGAATATAATGTCATGCCTTTATTCTTGTGTATGATTGATGTTTTGGGGACTGTTATCCCAATATAACCAGTCAAATGGGCGTGATCCGACTGGCAGCTTACAGACGCTTGCTCGACGCTCATCCAGTCAGTCGCGGCTCATAGTGCGAGTATAACGCGTTGCCTGACACTCTCGCTACAAGGAAATAAATTGTTTTCTTATTATGAATATAATGTCATGCCTTTATTCTTTTGTATGATTGATGTTTTGGGGACTGTTATCCCAATATAACCAGTCAAATGGCCGTGATCCGACTGGCAGCTTACTGACGCTTGCTCGACGCTCATCCAGTCAGTCGCGGCTGATAGTGCGAGTATAACGCGTTGCCTGACAATCTCGCTGCATGGAAATAAATTGTTTTCTTATTATGAATATAATCTCACGCATCTATTCTTCTTTGCAACTGCACACTGTTTGTGTGTTGAATAATAGTTTAAGTGCGACAAGCAATGGCCTATATAGATTCTTGTTTTTTATTTGTAAATATATTTTTTTCTTTGTTTTTATTTGTAAATAGTTTTTTTCTTGGGTTTTATTTTTAAATAGTCTTTGTAAATTTGAAAATAGTGATACAGTCTGTGCTAAGTGATTTTACCGTTAAAGTTGCCATTCTTTTATTTAATTATTAAAAAGCTTTCTTTTATCAAATTATTTAAAAGCATCTCTATTTTGTTCTGGTGTCAGAAAATGGTCAAGGCAATGACAATGTTATTGGGATTAATTCACGTTTTTATAGGCTACTTTTTCACAAGGATTAAAATCGTCCCGAACGTGAATTAATCCCAATAACATGAATCTTTGTCATTGCCTTGACCATTTTCTGACACCAGAACAAAATAGAGATGCTTTTAAATAATTTGATAAAAGAAAGCTTTTTAATAATTCAATAAAAGAATGCCAACTTTAACGGTAAAATCACTTAGCACAGACTGTATCACTATTTTCAAATTTACAAAGACTATTTACAAATAAAACCCAAGAAAAAAACTATTTACAAATAAAAACAAATAAAAAAATATATTTACAAATAAAAATCAAGAATCTATATGCCATTGCTTGTCGCACTTAAACTATTATTCAACACACACACAGTGTGCAGTTGCAAAGAAGAATAGATGCGTGACATTATATTCATAATAAGAAAACAATTTATTTCCTTGCAGCGAGAGTGTCAGGCAACGCGTTATACTCGCACTATCAGCCGCGACTGACTGGATGAGCGTCGAGCAAGATCTGTAAGCTGCCAGTCGGATCACGGCCATTTGACTGGTTATATTGGGATAACAGTCCCCAAAACATCAATCATACACAAGAATAAAGGCATGACATTATATTCATAATAAGAAAACAATTAATTTCCATGCAGCGAGAGTGTCAGGCAACGCTTTATACTCGCACTATGAGCGTCGAGCAAGCGTCTGTAAGCTGCCAGTCGGATCACGGCCATTTGACTGGTTATATTGGGATAACAGTCCCCAAAACATCAATCATACACAAGAATAAAGGCATGACATTATATTCATAATAAGAAAATAATTTATTTCCTTGCAGCGAGAGTGTCAGGCAACGCGTTATACTCGCACTATCAGCCGCGACTGACTGGATGAGCGTCGAGCAAGCGTCTATAAGCTGCCAGTCGGATCACGGCCATTTGACTGGTTATATTGGGATAACAGTCCCCAAAACATCAATCATACACAAGAATAAAGGCATGACATTATATTCATAATAAGAAAACAATTTATTTCAATGCAGCGAGAGTGTCAGGCAACGCGTTATACTCGCACTATCAGCTGCGACTGACTGGATGAGCGTCGAGCAAGCGTCTGTAAGCTGCCAGTCGGATCACGGCCATTTGACTGGTTATATTGGGATAATAGTCCCCAAAACATCAATCATACACAAGAATAAAGGCATGACATTATATTCATAATAAGAAAACAATTTATTTCAATGCAGCGAGAGTGTCAGGCAACGCGTTATACTCGCACTATCAGCTGCGACTGACTGGATGAGCGTCGAGCAAGCGTCTGTAAGCTGCCAGTCGGATCACGGCCATTTGACTGGTTATATTGGGATAACAGTCCCCAAAACATCAATCATACACAAGAATAAAGGCATGACATTATATTCATAATAAGAAAACAATTTATTTCAATGCAGCGAGAGTGTCAGGCAACGCGTTATACTCGCACTATCAGCCGCGACTGACTGGATGAGCGTCGAGCAAGCGTCTGTAAGCTGCCAGTCGGATCACGGCCATTTGACTGGTTATATTGGGATAACAGTCCCTAAAACATCATTCCTCCACAAGAATAAAGGCATGGCATTATATTTATAAAAAGAAAACAATGTATTTCCTTGTAGCGAGAGTGTCAGGCGACGCGTTAGACTCGCAGTCTCAGCCGCGGCTGACTGGATGAGCGTCCAGCGAGCGTCTGTAGCTGCCAGTCTGATCACGGCCATTTGACTGGTTATATTGGGATAACA